TAACCCCCCCCCCAAAAAAAAAAATAATAACAATAATAAAAAAATGAAAATAAAATAAATGCATTCAAGTTGTATCCCTGCCTTAGTGAGCTGGTTTGAATAAAGTTTACATACCTGATTTACATGGTGAATTCTAGATATTTTTCTCTCTTTTTTCTATTATTATTTTGCCAATATGAAAGTTTCATGTTTTTTTAAAATATTCATGTGTCTCAGACTATCATGTTTTTATGTTTACAAAAATATGAATCCACAATAATGGAGACAATTTTTACCCAAAGCTAATAAACGTGATGCCTTCATCTTCAAATGTTTTCAGAACTTGAATAGAACTTGTTTTAAAAAAATTGGCCCAAAAACTTAAAATAAAAAAAAATACCTGGTAAGCATCTGACCTGGGATCCATATCCAGATCAGTCTAAGAATTTTAATCTAGAATCTGTGGCTTACATTGCATACTAGAGCAAACAATGATTATCTCAACACAATAGCCCAATTACATATGACAACTATCTCTATTTTGGACCAGGAATTCATAAAAAATGCCTATAATAGACTTTGCAAAGTCCACTTTATGAAGTCTGCCAACCCATTTAAGCAGTCTAAATTATGAAAAAAAAAAAAATGACTGGTCACCTGCTAAGGGTGATGGGGAATGTCATGTGGGCCTAAACCTGTAGGTAGGCCTACATATTATATTTGCCATTAATCCTGAGAACAAATTCATAAATTATGAAAGCTCATGCCACTTACTTTGGTCAAAAGATGTATAGAGTAAACAATTAAATTTCTACACAATAATCTTCAATGTGCAACAAAATGATAAAAAGATAAAAAAATTCATACTGACTGTATGTATACATGTTTAATCAAGCCTTTTGGTCTTGGCAAGTGGATTTGTTTAAAAACGCTATAACAAATCTAAATATTAGGATTGCTTTCATGCTTCATAAGTCAATGGCTTCTCCAGCCTACAACTTCACAATAGAGAACTCAGAATACATCATTCTGAGGGTCATTTATATTAAAATGACAAAAGGCAATCCTGTACGATAGCTCCAGTATACAGAATTCTGTGCTTAAAGAGTTATGGATTTCTGCTGCGTTTCTGTGCAACAAATGACTGCAGCATGTAACATTGCCTAAGTACATTAATGGTTTCAAACTGAAGGGTCAACTTCACAATAAATGACTGAGAAAAGAGCTGACATAGAATACATATTCACTCAATCAAACCACAATTTCCTAATTAAACATTTTGATTTTGACTTTATACAGTACAAAACATCTTATTTTAACTTCACCTGACAAAGCATGTGTGTGCGTGTGTGCAAATGTACGTGCATCCATGTAAGCGAATTTTTTACTGAATTTTAAAGGACATTGAAGACTCACTCCTCCACTATCCACATATCCAGTATCATGACAGAAACAAGCAGTTTCCAATGTCCTCTAAAACTCAGGCCGCTTTGTATGTATACATATGCTTCTGTGTGTAATTGTCCTAATCCAATAAATGTCAACACCACCCTTTAATAAAACAAACATATTTTCATCATTGTAAAGAATACATCGATTCTCTTTCAACTATAATGAATTTTTTGCTGTATGCCTCAGGTTCCATGCCTGTGATGTTTTGCCTTTGCTGGTCAGGTAAAAATGTTCTTTTCTTTCTTTTGAGAAATGAGCACCTGTCTGAATTTATAAAACTGGAATTTAAACTACCAAAGAAAAAGTGCTTTGTGTTGTAACTGAAGCAACAAAAGTTTAGTTTCCAATATGAAACTTATATGTTAGAGCTTAACATAATACTCAGAGATGATATACTGCATAAAATCTTGAAACAATACATGTGCTGTATATGTTAAGTAACCACAAGGACTTATAAGACGTATTCTGCAAATGTCTTTTTTTTTTCTTTTTCTTGTCTGATTCCACTTGAATGTGTACAAAAATACCCTGTAATTGAAAATATAATTAATATCTTATGTCACTAATCCAAGAGCAAGGGAGTACTACCAGGACATCCGTGAGTATACAAGTTGTCCTTCTATTTCAAAGACAAGCACAGAGGCACAAAAACAACCAAACACATCACAGACTGTAGAGACAGCAGCATCTTCACACACAAATTACAGACAGAAACCCTCTGGAATCTTGTCACAGCAATTGATCACAGAAGAACTCAGTTGCAATAATTTAGTTAGGATTGGTTAGTTTTTCCGAGAGCTGTAATATCACTCTGTAGGAAATGGGGAGGGTGCTTCTATCAGCTAATTTGAGCAATCCCCTGGGGAGCATCACGGCTCTCGGATAATTAATTCACAAAGTCAACTTAAACAATGATTTCTTAGATTCTCAAAGACAAGAAATCCTTTTTCAATCTAAATGAAATGTCTGACTCATGGAAAAGAGAGAGAGGGAGAGAGAGAGAGGAAGAGAGAGGGAGAGAGAGAGAGAGAGGAAGAGAGAGGNAGAGAGAGAGAGAGAGAGAGAGGGAGAGAGAGAAATCAGGCAAATACGTTAAGCTATTATTAGTCATGAGGGTGCAAAAAAGTTGACTGAACATTATCAAAAATTCATGATGCTAAGTTAGAGCCGAAGTGACCTGGATGGAGTACAGCTCTATCCACCTTCCACCTTTGTGCACAGGTCGAAATGTTTGCCAACCTTGAGGTGTTAGTCTGCCATTGATTTTCGTTGGAGCTGCTGAAACAATGCTTTTTGGATAATTGCCAATAAGAAAAATAATGAGATTTCTTGAAATAATAAAACACTGTTTTGATAAGGAAGGCTCCAGGGACAACTTGTGTCTCTAACCTCAATGAAATTTGATACATGAGAGAGAAAAATGCCCCCAGGACTATCCAACTTGAACAGGAATAAAGAACAATTGGGATAAACACCTGACTTCACAAGTATTTTCCATTCGAGCTCAGTATCATTAACCAGAAATGATAGATTTTCATGACAGATAATCAAAATGCATTACAGTTGAAAGAATAAGAAGCATAAATGTCATTATACTGTCACAGCTAGCAGAGGAATTTTAAACTAGCAGGAGAAAAAGCAAAGAGAAAAAAACATAAAACGTAAATATCCCGAAGTCTAAACAGGTGACCCTTTAAATACAGCCCAAATATAGTCTACTGTATGTCACCTCTACCACAATTTCACACCTACCCCAATATTCCATAGCCTGCCAAGTCCAATGGATTACATAATGCACCTCTTGACCCCTATTCAATTACGCACAGCCTAGCTGTGAATCTCCCATATTTTACTTGTCTTGGTACTTACCCTATAAGAAGCCCAAATCAATAACTACATTCAATTCTATAATGATCCAACATGTTATATACTAATCTCACACTGCCAAGGAGGTTAAACCCACTAAACCAGTTGTACAATAAAACATCTGCACACAAATACATATAACATTGCATCATCAAATACAAGATTTCATCCTTTGATGAAAGGTGCTTGTGGATGTGATTACGAGTAAAAATGGACTTAAACGGTTTCTCTCAGCTGTGGTAGGGATGGTCTGGTATAGGTAAAGGCAAGGACTGCCTATACACACTCAGGTATAAAGGATAATATTGATCCAAAATCAAAGGAAGTCAACTTAAGTAATAGACCTACAATGCATTGCAGTAAACAGTTGTTTAATGGCCGTCTGCCATCTACAGATTGAGATTGGTAGACCGTGCCTAAGCAGCTTTTATTTTACCATTCAAATCTACTTATACCACTATTTACCACTGTGGGGTCTTAAGTCCAAATCTCTGTGCATTTTCTTCTCTTTTCAACAAATAAAAAATGTAAGAGAATGTGGACCATTTACTCCATCACTTAGATGTTTGCTTGTGGAGTGCCTTGGGACTAATTTTTATGTTATTGGTATTATCAGTATAATCCTGTGGAATGTCCTTTGTTGAATGCCTTTTTTTTGGCCAAATACACCTGAATATGTAGGACAATTTTAAATTATATGGGACCTAAACAGTGAGAAGGCTCTTTAAAAAGGAATAATTCCATAATAAATTTAGTGATTTTAACAGTATTAAAGAATTTGGCAAATATTTCAAGTGCTGGTTTTCAAATTGTTTTCAAGTCAAAGTCCAATAGCACAATGCTAAACAGCAGGTCTGACGCAGAGGCCTTAAAAAAAGCTCACTGTGGACCTCGAATTAAATCATCTCTAATGAGAGCTTGAGGTCAAAAATCAACATTAAAAGCATTTCTGGAATGGCTGTGTTAAATCAAGAATCAAGATCAAGGCCATAAATATCTGAGAGCATACTGTTTTAACATTTCTTTAAAAAGTTTTTTTCTTTCCTCATTCACAATATGGTATCAAAGTAAAAGAGGCCATTTTTCCTGAAAATGTAAGCTTTTAACAGAAAAGAGTTAAATGCATTCTAGCTGTAGAAGGAAGCTACTTTTGTTGAATATGAATGTTTATTGATGGTAAAACAAGTTCCATTATGCATTCTCATTTGGCATTCCACCCACCAACAAGTCTAATAGTCTAAATTTACTCCTAGGGTCTAATGATTAAGACTAATTGTGGCCTAACCTTTTCTTTCTGCCCGTGTGGCTGTCCTTGCTCCCCAATGCAAATTTGCAGATGTTCACATGTAGCAGGGTTCCTTAACACCATTTACTCATATACACACGGACTTGTTATGGGGGTATTTGTTTTTTACAGCATGAACAAAATGGGAATATTAGATGCTCCTGTATAACTTAAGTAGGTAGATATATGGATGCATGCACATCAGATCTGAGCCAATACTGAACATGCTTATTTATTACAGTCACACATCCAAAATAAAAAAAAAAAAAATTAAGGAAATATTTCTAAGGGCCCTTCTCTTCCCTTTCCCCACCCTAATGCACATACGTATCACCCATATCAGCTTTCTTTCAACATTTATAGCCCTACCCCCCTTTAAATTTATCCTTTAAAACTGTAATGCCTGAGGTATACATACCTGCAGCCATGCCAGCCTGCTGATCATCATACTCCTGCAAGTCATGGGACAGGGTGTTGAACTTGTGCACCAAGTCCTGCATCTCCTCCGCATTCTCAACATTTATTTTAGGAAGCGAGTTGCTCCTGGTGTCATCACCAAGCCCATGATAATCATGATGATAGCCCCAGATTTCTGAATCCGAGTTGTAATCTGGCGACTCCTTATTGGATTTCCTAGGAGACATGTATTCTAAACTTTGCTGTTTCTGGGTACGATAGTAAGCAGCCGCCGAGGCTTGGGGACTGCTCAACACTGGTTCTTTGCCAGAGGCTTTTCGACTTAACGTACTGTGGTCAGACTTACTCTGCAACTGTTTTCTAATTCTTTCATAGTCTTCCTTCAGTTTGGCATCTGTAGTATCACAAAATTTTGGGTCAACATCATCCATTCCATTTACCTTTGGTCCTCCCTCTGCACCTTTATAAGATGCAGAAGTCTCACTGGATAGCCCACTGTCATTGGAGTCCTCTTTCTCCACTTGTTCCATGGCAGCAATCTGATGTTGGAGGGCCTTGGACCGCGAGTGACGAAGTCCCTCTGGTAACCCCAGCCCCTGTGCCATCTGCCTTGAGTAAGCCTCCCTTGCCTCCCTCCCTGCCAGTATAAATTCATCTGGGCAAGAATCATCCTGCTCATGTTCCGATCTGGATTCAAAAGAAACTGAGCCTTGTTTCAGTACCACAACAGGTTTCTGAGGCTCTATTGTTGCTATTGTGGTTCCAGTATTCCCTTGCCTTGAATATGATCTAGTCCTAATTGTTAAAGTTAATTTCTTTGGTATTGACATTAATACGACGACGTCATCTAGGTTCATGCTCGTTACATTGACTGTGTTCACTGTTACAATTTCGTCTCCCATGCGTAAAAGCCCATTCTTTTCTACTATGCTACCAGGTGCAATTCGAGAAATAAAAACTCCCCCAGTTCGGTCTATGCCATTGCCTTCCCGTATATAAAACCCAAGACTTTGTCCTGGGCGCTTTAAAATCTCCACAGTTTGAATAACGACGTCGTCTCCAGTGATTTCCATGTTTTTTATTCCCATATCTAATGCACTCGAGTCATGTTTCTTGCCTTTTCTATGTCTTGGAGAAAGTGGCGACGCTTTCGGGCTCTGCTGGAGTAGTGGTTTTTCGCATGTTTCCCGGCGAGGGCTGTCACTTTCGCGATCGCGGCTACTCTGTCTCTCTTTGCTCTTCGATCGTGACCGTTTGTCCTTCTTGTTCTTTCCTTTTGCGGAGGTCTCTGCCATCCTCCCAGAGCCTTCCTGTTCAAAAGAGAAAAATTAATGGTACAGTAAAAACTGAAAAAGCGCCAGCAGTTTCAGGCACATGTCTCTCAGTTCAGTGGTGCGCTTCCAATCAATAATAAAATCGCGGTCAGCCTTTGAAGGTTTTAGGTCAAGGTCGGAGAAACGAAGGAATAGGTTTTTCAACCAGCGAGAGTGCTACAGGTGTCCCAAGATAGGAAAGCTTAGGTATTGGATCAGAGAAGGCAAACATAATTATGGACAGGTTATTGATAGTACATATTTACCAAACAACCACACATCTTTTACTGTTGTTGCTTTGCTATTTGATAGACTTGGGATAAAAATATTGTTTCCTCTAGTGACCACTAAGTAGCGCCATCTTTTATCTCAAACTGACACTAGTGCGGTTATCTGCTGCGACAGCGAAGAAAATACATTTTAGACGTCAACTTTTAAACTTTTGAGTTAAACAAAATATTGCACAAAAGGATAATTAATTTTCAAGTCAGAATAATGTTTTTTTTTCATTTACCTCTTTGTACTCAACTCATTATGTTATTTATTATGCTGGTATTATTAATTTTCAGAATTCATCGTTGAAATGCAACGTGACTAATCTTCTTTACAGATATAGCCTCAAATAAACTTGTATGCTCACAGGGCCTAAACTGACCATGTAACCTAATTGTTTCCTTAATAAAATTAGACAAAACGGATTAAATAAGCCAGCCTACTACAAATAGAAATAGTTTTCATATTGCCCGTGGCAATCGTTGGACAAGTTGTCAGTTCTGAACTATTGCCTCTAACATTTTTGTTTAGAATATGCAATAAACATATGCTATGGGAAGTCCACTGCCCTTTATCAATACCAGCCCGAGGAAAAGACTTGTAAGAAAACAGCTGAAACTGGAGGTGACATGCTTAAACAAATTGGCTGACCTTTCAATTTTCAGGGTACAGTGCTCAAGGTCATATTAATTGACTGATCCCATTAAAATGGATGCATTCTCAAAAATATTTATCAGAATTCTGTGGACGTTTATCAGTTATCGAAAGGTTAGGTCAGCAATACAACTATTTTGTTCAAAAGTAGGCCTACTGGGTATTCTTTTATATCGAGGTAGTAGGCATTTCAGACAGAAGTGAAATTTTGCCACCCACACCCCCTTTAGATTCCTGAACTGTTTTGTCCAATGCAAACTTGTCAATCGAAGCGAATTTAAAATTATTTCTATTTACTCGACCCTTACCTGCCCAGGGTAGAATGAGAAATACGCCTATGTCTTTAACCCCCAGGTAAGATACTCAAAAGAGGGAAAAGTGAAAATAAAGAAAAATGGATCATAGTTAATCATTCAAATATTCATGACGAGTACGGTGGGAATGACAGCCTGTGTGAGCACAAAAGCGAGTGTGTTGAATCTGTTACCAGTATATGGTTTTTGAATGTTGTCTCTCTCTCTATTTCAAAGGGATGCCTATATAGAGCATTTTTTCCAGTGACTAGATATCTTTTTTTTTAAATAGTTGCATGTTTTTAGCAAACGTATCACAATTCTTTTTTTTTCTCAAAAACTTTCTAATAAATACTAGAGGCAACAAAAGGTAGGCCTAATTATCGAATCATCAAGTAGGCTTATGCACATTGTTGACTGGGAATGGTCCACAAATACGGATTTTGAACGTGTTTTCGACACTTTCTCCTTCATATCCACTTTCCATCCGTTCAAGATGTACACACAGAACAAAAAGATGCTTCTAGATCAGTCACTCAGCCCTATAAGTTTTCACTGTCATATTCCGCAATTAAGAAATGTTTAATTTTTTGAACGCAGGTAACACTTTGACCCTATATAAATAGCATGACAAATTTTGAAAATGCCGATCAATCTGAATTTTTTCATACCTCCTGTATGGCGTGATCATCTCCTAGAACACATTAAACTCACAGACATAAAATAAAAACAAATATATATTTATAAAAAATAACATGTAAATATCGATAATGATTTTTTTAGCGCCGGGTGCTAAGTGGTAGTCTATTATCGATACAACATAAGTGTCATTTTACTCTGTGTACGTGATACCAAAGAATGGAGTGATGTTGCTTGAACATTCGATCATGCCATGTCTGTCTTCATAGATGGAGAAATGTTTCCTTAGTCCATAATAGTAGATATGGCTTTCTTTGATACAATAAAAGAGTTTGAATACAAAGAAATATTGATTAGCGGCAGTGGAAGAATAAGCTTGGGTTTCAAACCAGGTTGTATTACTGCATAGACCTAGTTTAGTCAATAACCTAATGTAATTCATATGCCGCCCACTGCCTTTCAAAAAATAATAATTACAGTAATCATAAAACACACTTGAGACACATGATGTTCAAATATCAAAATAGCGTAGATCTTTATATCTTCAAGAAAAGATAGACATCTTTTGGAGGAAAAATGTTGCAATTTTTTCTGGCATTTTTGGTTCACTTTTCTGCCAATTTCATAATGCCTACCCCAGATGGAAACCCTAGATCTGCTTACCATTTCTAGGAAAATTTACTGTGTCTCTTGTGCAAAACGAGCGTCTGATGGTAGATTTGGGCAAAAAACAAACTTTGGCGCTCAGACCATACCGACCACACAAGGATGAGTGCCAGTGGCGCGTGCATGTTTCCCGAGGTTCAACTTGAAATTGATACCTCGCTGTCTGGGGTTTTACTTTCTTAATTTGACGCAGAATTTTTTTTATATGACCAGTGCTGACAATAAATGCCTCACCAATTTTTGTCGAACTGAAAATTCAGAATATTGCGAGTAGAAATATACAACCATTGGATTATTTCACAACCGCTTTGTTTCTGTCTGACAGCTGGATGTCATACGTATTTGATTTCGAATTATAGAGAAATACGCAGAGAAATTTGCACATCTGATACGTATACATATGTATAATCGTTTTTAAAAAGGCGATAAAACAAATGAAAGAAAAAAGTTTTGACTGCGCACAACATCAAGGTCAGAACGCACCAAGAGACGAGGAGAAACCATAGAATTATCCTGACGATACTTTTTGTCAGGGAAACTTTGTTGTATTTGGAACGATGCAGTGAACTGCAAGAGCCCTTGTAAAAAATAAATCTGGAAGAAATACAGGAGCCTAGCTACAACATCAACAAAAAAAAAAGACTTCTAACGCGACAAATCAATTAGCATAATGGCTGAAAAGTAACAAGATAGAAAGATATTTGATTTATTTCATTATCAAGTCAACTGTGTACAGTGTACTATATGCCAAGTCTTTCTGTATTCACCCCTTTCATCAACTTCATTACACGTATATCCGAATTTATTAGATAAACCAGCGATTTGGATGACGGAAATAAAAGAAAAAGTGTAACGCAGATGTCGGGAATAAAATTCAATGACCCCATAGCTCAAATATCCTACATATTTTAATATGAACCGGACTAGTTTAGAATTAAATTAAAAGGGTTAAATGTGTAGCAAGGCGCAATTTCATGTGTATTTATGGGGAGGGGGGGGGAGCTTTTTTTATCTTTAGGATTTTTGACTGACAATGTATCTGTATTTCTAGTTAGTTCAAGAACAAGTTGTAAAAATGGCTGTATAAACTGTATAAACTACAACAGAGTATAAACTGTTTTATACACCGCAATGCTTATTTGTGGCTTAATTCCAACAGATTGGCTTGTCTGTATTATGGGACCTTACTTACAAATGCAAAAATATAAGAATCTGCCATTTAAGAAATGCTGCTGAGAAGAAACATATCCCCTTTACTCGGATAATAGGGGGGAGGGGAAATAAAAAATACAAGTAACATAACACTCAGTAATAAATAAAGCGAATTTCCGTGGATATTTGCATTCCTTCGTCACATCTTTTAATCTAGACAACCAAACACAATGGGATAAATTAATACCAGAAATGAAGATGCAAAGAACAAAAACGCACTATCATTTCATTTTGTGTTCCTATTATGGACTATTGATTGTAAAGAGGCAATTGTGTTTATCGCAGTTTTGCAGTCGCACAAGTAAAAACAAAGCTCTGTCTAAATAGTCATTCTCTTGGTGCAATCTTATTGGCTTTCACTGTTTTACATTGTTAAAATGTGATGTTGTTAAAATGATTGAGTTATACTAAAAGCCCCACGTTTTCACGAGATGACTGTCTGCTGATTAGGATCACGAAAACTGTTAAGGGTGAAAAAAACGGATAATGAAAACTCTAACTCTCAAGTTTTTCACCAACGTGTTGCATAAAGCGAATATATGGACGTATAACACGTCAACTTGGCAACTCGCATTTGATATCTTAATTATATTGAAGGTACATGTACTGTGTTTCCCTTTTCCTCTTTTACAAGTTCAGAAGTTTTGGTTGAGTAATTACAAATATAACAATAGAACCGTTTATTTATTAATTTATTTTTCATTTTTATTTAGTTTTCTTTTTTTTTTTTTTTTTTTTTTTTTGCAAAATCACATTTCTATCAAACTATATGTATGTAGAGATATATACCACAGCAAGATCTTAATTGAGTACAAGCATTTTATACCTCATAACAAACCATTTAAAACGCAACCGCAATCCTCTTGTGCCCGTTTACTATTCTTAAAGGACCAACTACCGTCTATACTGTGCTCATAGATAAATAGATTGAACCTGAACAGTCCTTGAAGGCGTATTTTAAAACCCAGCTCGGTCATGTTAAACTATTGGGAGGATAAAAAACTAACAAAGGAAATAAATAAAAGCGAGTTCGAAGTCATATGGGAAACGGTACTTATATTACTGGTACTAAGTGGATTTAAATCTGTTTAGTGCAGGAGAAGATGAATAACCAAAAGACTTTTGTTTCTATATGTTCCATATCATCAGAATTTCTGGTGGTGCATATTATCATCTATATAACAGAATAAGTGTCTGGTAGTCCATCTGAAGCCATTATATTCATCATTAATGCCCCATGAGATTCAGCATAGTCCGAGCAATATGGATAAAGCGCACCCTCTCTCCTTTCTGCACGGCTCTTAATGCGTTTTCGTTATAAAATACATGTACCAATGCATATGCTTAGAAACCGGAGTGGGTGGGGGTAGATTTCCTACTGTTATAACC